CGTTCTCCCCTGGGTCTGTCCCCATGCCCCAGCCTGGCGCTAGGGGCACCTAACAGGGCTCCTGACCCTTTGTGTTCATTGAAGATCTCCTGGTACTTGCCGGGGCCGCACTGTCCCTGCCTGGGTCCGATCTAGGTCACCCTTTTCCTCCCTCCCTCTTGCCCATGTGCCCTCAGCTGGGCACTGGGTTCTCCTTCACTTCCTGCCCCAAACTGCAGGGCGATGCCGCTGCGTGGGGCTGCCCTGCCCGCCCCGGGGCCGCGCTGCAGTAATGCGTCTCCCTTCTCTCCCCACCAGGTCCGGGCTGTTTGTGGTTGGTCCCGAGTCCGCGGGGGCCCATCCTGGCCCCGCCTGCTACAGGAAGGGTGAGGCCGGGGCTCTGCTGTGCCGGGGCGTCTGGGTGGGCTGGCGAGCGGCAGCGACTGACCCCTTGTCCTTGCAGGGGGCCCCCTGACAGTGACCGACGCCAACCTGAGCCTGGGCCGCCTGCTGCCCCATTACTTCCCCCACATCTTCGGGCCGGGTGAGGACCAGCCGCTGTCGCGGGACACCGCCCTGCAGGGCTTCCAGGAGCTCACTGCCCGCGTGAACGCCTTCCTGGCCAGCCAGGCGCCAGGCCCCCGCCCCCCTCTCACCGTGGAGGAGGTGGCCATGGGCTTCATCCAGGTGGCCAACGAGGCCATGTGCCGGCCCATCCGCTCCCTGACCCAGGTAGGGGCAGGACAGTGCTGCAGCCCATCAGCCCCATGATGGTGACACCTGCCCGCACCTCTCCCCAGAGCTGGCAGGGCAACTTTCCTCCCCCCACTCCCTGGGCAAATGCCCAGGAGACCCCCACCCCTGCTCCCCTGCCTGCACTGGGAGCAGAACCAGGGCCCGTGCCTGGGCAGCTCCTGGCTCTGCCGCAGGGCACCCAGCGCTCCCCGGCGCAGAGCCGAGCCTACGGGGAGGGGCCAGGCCAGGTCAGGCTGGTGACTCTGGCATGAGAGGCAAGGGTTCCCCAGGACTTGTTCTCGGGGGTGGGGAAGGTTCCTGGGGCTCGCACTCAGTTCCCGGGGTGGGGAGTTGGTTCCCTGGGTCTCGCTGGGGGCAGGGGGGCTCTGTTCCCCGGGGGAGGGGTTGGATCCCTGAGTCTGGGGGGGTTCTCATTGTGGGGGAGGGGCAGCTTTGTTTGCTGTCCCTGTGTGTGACGCTTCCTCTGGTTCTGGCAGGCGAGAGGCCATGACACCTCGCACCACGTACTGGCCTGCTTTGGGGGTGCAGGGGGGCAGCACGCCTGCGCCATCGCCCGTGCGCTAGGCATGAAGAGGGTGTTCATTCACAGGTACGTACCGGGGAGCTGGGGGAGGGCGTGGTGCCTGCCAGGGCCGAGAGAGCCCGTGGGCACAGAGGGGACGGGGGGGAGGGGCTGACCCTTCCCAGGTCTCTGCCCCCTGGCTCTGGGGGTCTGCATAGGGAGAGCAGGTACAGAGAGCCCCATAGGGCTCGGCAGGGCGGGGGTGAGGATGCTAGCCCTGTGGCTCTCTGGGGCGCCCTGTGGCTGTGTTGGGGGCTCTGCTGTATGCTATAGAGTGGGCTGGCTCATTTTGGTAGGGTCAAAGTTTGTTGATTTTGGTGTCCCTGCTGCTGCATGTGTGTCTGAGGCTGGGGGGAGCAGGACTGGGCAGTGGGACACGGGGCCCAGAAGGAACCAGGGACAGGCACTGGGAAGGGTGTCCAGAGGCGGCCAGTAGGAGCAGGGGGCCCCAGAAGGAACCAGGGGGAGTGGACACAGGAGCAGAGGGGGCTGGTGGGACCAGGGCTGGGCACTGGGAGTGCGGGGCCGTGGGGAGCAGGGGGAGCACGGCTGGGCGCTGAGAGTGGAGTCATTGTGGATAGTTCTCTGAAAACATCCACTCGATGTGCAGCGGCAGCCAAAAAACGAACAGAATGCTGGGAATCATTAAGAAAGGGATAGATAATAGGACAGAAAATATCATATTGCCTCTATATAAATCCATGGTATGCCCACATCTTGAATACTGCGTGCAGATGTGGTCGCCCCATCTCAAAAAAGATATATCGGACTTGGAAAAGGTTCAGAAAAGGGCAACAAAAATGATTAGGGGTATGGAACAGCTTCCATATGAGGAGAAATTAATAAGACTGGGACTTTTCAGCTTGGGAAAGAGATGACTAAGGGGGGATATGCTAGAGGTCTATAAAATCATGACTGGTGTGGAGAAAGTAAATATGGAAGAGTTATTTACTCCTTCTCATAACACAAGAACTAGGGGTCATCAAATGAAATTAATAGGCAGCAGGTTTAAAACAACAACAACGCCCAGTCAACCTGTGGATCTCTTTGCCAGAGGATGTTGTAAAGGCCAAGACTATAATAGGGTTAAAAAAAGAACTAGATAAATTCATGGAGGATGGGGTCCTTCAATGGCTATTAGCCAGGATGGGCAGGGATGGTGTCTCTAGCCTCTGTTTGCCAGAAGCTGGGAATGGGCGACAGGGGATGGATCACTTGATGATTCCCTGTTCTGTTCATTCCCTCTGGGGCACTTGGCATTGGCCACTGTCGGCAGACAGGATACTGGGCTAGATGGACCTTTGGGCTGACCCAGTCTGGCCGTTCTTATGAGTGGGGGGCCACGGGGAGCACTGGGAGTGGGGGTCTGGGACTGATGGGCCCAGAGGGGACTGTGGGGAGCAGGACCGGGCACTGAGAGTGGGGGGCAGGGCTGGGTATTGGGTAGGGTTACCATATTTCAACACTGAAAAAAGAGGACACTCCACGGGGGTCCCACCCCCGCCCCTTCCCCACCCCCAACTCCACCCCTTCCCCGCCCCCATTCCAACCCCTTCCCCAAAGTCCCCGCCCCAACTCCGCCCCCTCCCCTGAGCACCCCGCATTCCCCCTCCTCCCTCCCGCCCCC